CTTGAACGGAGCGCAGACACAGCCCAGTGTAAAATGCAGATGCAGAAATGCACTGTTTTGTAACAGTGTATTTCTGCATCTGCATTTTACACTGAACTGTGTCTGCACTCTGTTCAAGCTGCTGCCTCTCCCCCCCATCATGGGACGGGGGGGTGTATTAACAGGACACAGAAAAACAGCAATACAGTGATCTTCCCAGTGATTAGCTGTGCTGCTGGGGCATGTCAGCACAAGTCTGACCATTGAAGTACAGGCAGCTGTGCTCTCAAGTAGAATGCAAAGTAAAAAATGAACCACGCTGGGCTGGGTATGCTTCCATGCCAAGCATGGACAGATTGAAACAGGAAAGCATGGTGACTGGCAGGATCACCAGGTCTTTCATACAAAGAAAGCAATACAAAGAGAACAGGATACTTGCTAATACAGGTACTTCGTACAACAGGCACATATCAGGAATATGAAATGTTGGGCAACATAAACTTTAATTTACTTAATTTGTTCTACGAATATATTCATTTTGGGGCATTTGTATTCTAAAGAATAATTCCATATATGAATTCAACTATTCTGCTTTGCATTCTTTACTTGCTACACTCTTGGGAATGTGAGGACATATAACTGGATTGAAAGAATGAACAGCATAAACTGCCCTGGTTTCTCAATCTCTTCTATTATTTCTGAATAATTCCAAGGATGAGTCTCTTCACATATCCTCAGGTTCTTACTAAGAAAACTAACCTAGTTTATATGGAAAGATTTTTGCAACACTATATACAGAAAACAAAGACATTTACAAAGCCTTCAAAATTTCTAGTTGCTACAAAGTTATCCAAATCTTCAATCTCAATTTAATCTGCAAATGCTAGTGACACCTCTAAGTGTGTATACTAAGAAATACAGATTGAAAGCCCTCAGCCAGGTTGGCCAGGCCCCTTTCAGGCTTTTCAGCTTTAAGTTCTGAAAAGGTTATAATAGAACCTAACACCTGCTCACTCTAGACAGATTTTGTCTGTAGCTGTACTGTGTTGTAGCTGTTGACTTCTAATAAACAAATGTTCACCAGTCCTGGGATCCAGCACTGTCCTCACCTGGTTCATTGCCAGTCTTTGGGTCCCCGGAGCTGCCATGTTAACTGCGGGAAGCCAGCTGTGACTTCTTCCGGCTTCACAGCCGGTTCCCTACTGCGCATGCAAGAGTAGAGCAGTGCTCTAAGAATAGTCCTGCAGCCTCCTGGGACCTGTGACATGTCATAGGACATTACAGGCAGGGAGGGAGGGAAGAGAACTTCTGCTGGAATTGCCAAGCTAGATATTTTATCTCACCACGCTAAAGTTCTGGGAAGCTACTTGTTTTAAAGGAAATTGATCATGGTTTAGGGTTACTTTTAGTTGTTATATTAAAGTTTATAGGTTTTTAAACTGTTTTACTGTCTATATACAAATCCTTTTTTTTAAATAAACGTGTAATACTTGACAAAGTTCCCAGAATACTAAACATACAGCACAGCAGACGATCACTGCTATAAGGCTATGCTTTGTCTTATTGAAACTGTGGACTGAGTCATCTGACAAGCGATTATTCACTTGACACATTCCAGTTTGAGCTATTGAGTTATGTAAATAGTAGCCTTTATATTAATGAAGAAGGCTGAAAGCCTCAAAAAAGGAGCCTAACCTTATACTTTCAGCTCAAAAGGTGACTGCATATGTAATATTTCATATTTACCTGTCTAAAAAACAGAAAAACACTTAAATGAGGTTGGAATACTTTTTATGTGATCAATGTAATCCTAGATACCCTTAGTTACATTTGAAAAAAAATAAAATTCATCCACTCTCTTCCTTACAGACCAATTGTAATTTTTTGAAATGCACAAGTTAGTAGAGGACCAATAGTGTGATATACACTATATTGCCAAAAGCATTGAGACACCGCTCCAAATCATTGGATTAAGGTGTTCCAAACACCTCCATGGCCACAGGTGTATAAAATCAAGCACCTAGGCATACAGACTGCTTCTACAAACATTTGTGAAAGAATGGGTAGTTCTAAGGAGCTCAGTGAATTCAAGCATGGTACCATGATAGGTTGTCACCTGTGCTATAATTCCATCCGTGAAATTTATATGCTACTAAATATTCCACGGTCAACTGTTAGTGGTATTATAACAGAGTGGAAGAAAGTGGGAACAACAGCAACAGCCACAAAGAAGTAGGTCACGTAAAATGACAGAGCAGAGTCAGCGCATGCTGAAGCGCACAGAGCGCAGAACTCACCAACTGTCTGCAGAGTCAACAGATAAAGACCTCCAAGCTTCAGCCACTAGACTCTAGAGCAGTGGAGATGTGTTCTCTGGAGTGAAGAATTATGCTTCTCTGTCCAGCAATCCGATGGACGTGTCTGGGTTTGGCAGTTGCCAGGAGAACGGTACTTGCCTGAATGCATTATGCCAAGATTGGTGGAGGAGGTATTATGGTGCTGGGTTCTTTTTCAGGGGATGGGCTTGGCCCCTTAGTTCCATTGAAGGGAACTCTTAAGGCATCACTATACAAGGCATTTTGAACAATTTCATGCTCCTAACTTTGTGGGAACCGTTTGGGGATGGCCCCTTCACTGTTCCAGTGCACAAAGCAAAGTCCATAAAGACATGGATGAGCGAGTTTGGGGTGGAAAAACTTGACTGGCCTGCATAAAGTCCTGACCTCAACCCGATAGAACACCTTTGGGATGAATTACAGTGGAGATTGCGAGCCAGGTCTTCTCGTCCGACATCAGTGCCTGACCTCACAAATGCACTTCTAGAATGGTCAAACATTCCCATAGACACACTCCTAAACCATATGGACGGCCTTCTTATGACTGGGATGCCATCATGTGCGTGTATAGGCAGGTGTCCCAATACTTTTGGCAATATAGTGTACAGTGGGGCACAAAAGTATTTAGTTAGCCACCAATTGTGCAAGTTCTCCAACTTAAAAAGATGAGAGAGGCCTGTAAGTGGCATCATAGGTAAACCTCAACTATGAGAGACAAAATGAGAAAAAAAATCCAGACAATCACATTGGCTGATTTTGAAAGAATTTATTTGGAAATAATGGTGGAAAATAAGTATTTGGTCAATATCAAAAGTTCATCTCAATACTTTGTTATATATCCTTTGTTGGCAATGACAGAGGTCAAACGTTTCCTGTAAGTCTTCACAAGGTTGGCACACACTGTTGCTGGTATGTTGGCCCATTCCTCCATGCAGATCTCCTCTAGAGCAGTGATGTTTTGGGGCTGTCGCTAGGCAACATGGACTTTCAACTCCCTCCAAAGGTTTTCTATGGGGTTGAGATCTGGAGACTGACTAGGCCACTCCAGGACCTTGAAATGCTTCTTACGAAGCCACTCCTTCGTTGCCCGGACGGTATGTTTGGGATCATTGTCATGTTGGAAGACCCAACCACGTTTCGTCTTCAATGCCCTTGCTGATGGAAGGAGGTTTGCACTCACAATCTCACGATACATGGCCCCATTCATCCTGTCCTGTACATGGATCAGTCGTCCTGGTCCCTTTGCGGAGAAACAGCCCCAAAGCATGAAGTTGCCACCCCCATGCTTCACAGTAGGTATGGTGTTCTTTGGATGCAACTCAGCATTCTCTCTCCTCCAAACACGACGAGTTGTGTTTCTACCAAACAGTTCTATTTTGGTTTCATCTGACCATATGACATTCTCCCAATCTTCTTCTGGATCATCCAACTGCTCTCTAGAAAACTTCAGACATGTACTGGCTTAAGCAGGGGGACACGTCTGGCACTGAAGGATCTGAGTCCCTGGCGGCCTAGTGTGTTACTGATGGTAGCCTTTGTTACATTGGTCCCAGCTCTCTGCAGGTCATTCACTAGGTCCCCCCGTGTGGTCCTGGGATTTTTGCTCACCATTCTTGTGATCATTTTGACCCTACGGGGTGAGATCTTGCGTGGAGCCCCAGATCGAGGGAGATTATCAGTGGTCTTGTATGTCTTCCATTTTCTAATTATTGCTCCCACAGTTGATTTGTTCACACCAAGCTGCTTGCCTATTGCAAATTCAGTCTTCCCAGCCTGGTGCAGGCCTACAATTTTGTTTCTGGTGTCCTTCGACAGCTCTTCGGTCTTCACCATAGTGGAGTTTGGAGTGTGACTGTTTGAGGTTGTGGACAGGTGTCTTTTATACTGATAAAACAGGTGCCATTGATACAGGTAATGAGTGCAGGACAGAGGAGCCTCTTAAAGAAGAAGGTACAGGTCTGTGAGAGCCAGAAATCTTGCTTGTTTGTAGGTGACCAAATACTTATTTTCCACCATAATTTGCAAATAAATTCTTTCCAAATCAGCCAATGTGATTGTCTGGATTTTTTTTCTCATTTTGTCTCTTATAGTTGAGGTCTACCTATGATGCCAATTACAGGCCTCTCTCATCTTTTTAAGTGGGAGAACTTGCACAATTGGTGGCTGACTAAATACTTTTTTGCCCCACTGTATATACCAGCCCAACTTATGGATTAAATTGGCATTTCATCAGAGTCAACTGCATGCTTTAAAGGATACAAATGAAAGAGTAGAGTAATACATATCTTTCTGCCATACCCTTGGATTACCAAAACTTTGGTTGAAGTTCTCTGGTACCTCACTAAGAACTTTCCAAGTACTTCACAGACTTGGCAGAAGTTCCTTAGCAGAGGTAGCCACTAAAGAAGAGCTTGAACAGATTTTGATTGACTATATATTTGCTTTTAACAATCAATCCATTATTAAGTGGCCTTCATTGTGCTCAGTTTACATGTGTAGTATTCCATGTAGAGCAGAGAAATTCAATATGGTGGCAAAATCTGGTAAAAGGAGAATTTCGAACAACAGAATATGGAAAAAGGCCTACTTAGACTGCATTTAATTAGTTTTTTTGCACATCTAGTTTATATAAGGGTAGTTTGTAATTCTATACATAACCATATATACTTTGACTTGCAGTTCTGCCTTAACCTCCCTGACGGTATTCCCGAGTGTAGCTCGGTGTAAAGTTTCAGTACCAAAAGCGGTAACCCCGAGCTACACTCGGGCTTACCATGCGGCGCTGCTCCGGCAACTGTTCTTCACTTAACTTGTCCTGCGCTCCCGCGATGTCCCTCATGCAGTGGCCCCGGCAATGTAATCTGGCGGATGCCGGCATCTGTCATCTGGGTTCCATTCCCTGCGAAGTCAGGACGTATGGGGGGACAGAACGGCGGGAAATTTGAAAATGACAAAAAGTGACATTCACTAAATACACTAAAATCACATAGTAAAACATTACTATATCAAACCATTTCACATACATTTTGTCCCGAGTGCTTTGTCCTGTGCCCTGCCTGCATTTTTACTGTTCTTTCTGCCTGGAAACTGAGAAACATCCATGGTGTCCAAAAAGTGTCCCTTTAGGTCAAAATCGGTTTTAGACGGCTAGAGAACAGCAATAGTAAATTAGAACTACTTGCAGAATTGAGTGATAATGATTTGTGGGGAAATTCGTCATCAGACACTGAAAACGATTTTGCGACTTTGCTCAGTGATATGCAAACTTGGCGTTATTTCAAATTTCAGTGTTTTTGGTTTGATTATATTATTGAATTAAATTTATTATATTATTATTTTTTATGATTATTTATTAAATTATTATTTATGATTTCATGTTTCAAATTTTATCATACCCGGGATGTTTACTAGACTCTTGTTCGGACAGATTTCAGTGAGTTATTCCTAAAAATTACAGGCCTACAATAAAACAAATACATATTTCCATGCAAAAAAAATGTACCGCTTTGAGCACAGAAATATGGACATAATCAGACCGCTAAGGAGGTTAAGGCTTATTCTGCATTTTTTTTCTTGATCTTTTTTATTTAACCCTTGTTTACCTCACTAATGTAAAACTGTGGATAATAATGTCTAATACAGTATATAAGTCTAACATATATGTCAAAGAAAGCTTTTACTAAAATTTTCCTCTTTTATTGATCATCGTAACCTCTTCCCATTGCTTCATGAGTTGAATTTGTTATTTTTTGCTCTGTTTACTATTATATGTACATTTAAAACTTTAAACATTTTTAAAAAGAATTATGAAAGCATTGCAGTCCTATGTGTTCACAAAGCTTCTCTTGTTGAATGCCTGTTGCAACACTCATCAAAGCTACCTGCGAGCATATAAAATGCCGGTAACAACACCAGCCCCAGATAATACAAAGTTCATTCATCCAGCTTGTTTTGCCTAGCCCTGGCCCAGCTAGGTTTTTGAAGATGATAGTTGAACTTGATGTAGATATGCCTTATTCATCCTAAACAGTTATGATACTATGAAACTTTATGTTATCCTGTACTGGATAGAATGAAATATAACTTCGGAATTTATGAGTTCAGAGTTTCTATAAAACAGATATACTGTGCAGGTCCTTGTGCTATGTTCTCGACACAAGCTTACGTATTTATAGCAATGCTTCCATGTATGCTGGATGTCCTCTTTATTCAATTTTTTGTGAATTTTACCTATTGCTTCAAGCGCAGTGTTAGGTGTATAAATAATCTATTAATGGTAACACAACAGACAGCACCATAGTGAATATCTTTCAAGCAGAACAAATATAAAGTCTTGCATTCATCTGTTAATTCTCAGTAACTCTGGCAAGGATGGAAGAGATGAGGTGGTCTTAGACATTTTACAGTGAAAACTGTCAACTGTTGAAATCAGCTGGAGCTCCAGATATGGAAATTTCTCATTAACACATTATAGAGCTTAGTATACTACCTCGGAGAGTTAAGTATCCCAACAAGTGTAAATAAAACAAGAGTTTGTAAATAATATACTACTCTGTACCTGCAGAAAAAGTCATATTTCCCCTGTTGCTTAAAGTTTGATGTATGCACATGCCCACAGAAATACAAAACATTTGGAGACACTGTAAATGAGAGCGTCATGTATCTTAGATTGCCACCACACACAGGGTCAAATTTAAATATCTGCAGACCCTAGGCAGCCTGTGGACAGAATGCCATAGATTTTAGTGGGGTGCACAAATAAACAAGATAAACTAAGAAAATCAGCAGTATTGCTCATGTTGCCGTTAAGCTCTTTTCTAGCCAGGTTTATATAATGAGCCACCCCAGCTGCTGGTTGGTCATCTGAATGGTAGTTGCTTGCAATGGCTAATTTGGGAAAAAGCACAATATGCACACTAAATTGAATCAAATCTACATACTTTTCTGCTTATTTCTTTACACCCTGAGCAGTGTACCTACAAGTACTTATTGGGAACTGACCAAGTATATGGAAGCTAATAATTCACAAGCTAAACCAGTTAGGTTTTCTGAATGTTTTCTAAAGGTTTGTTATTACTCTATTGAAGACAATAAGATGCTTGATTGATCATAAACAGTAACAGTTTATCTTTGCTTATTCAGCATAGAACTGCAGGAATTGCCTTTCTGTTCAAAGTCCTGATGGCCAACAACTGGTACTTTCATACAAAAGGATTGCAGTTGTTCTGAATGTAAAATAAACTTATATATGGCAGTACCATATTACTGTAGATTTTAGAAGCAAGTAGAAGAATATTGAAGGAAAGTGCTTTTTGACCTTATTTATACATTTTCTACTTCAGTTTATATATTTTTACATACATTTATAAGCTATATTTTTAATAAGCTAGCAGGTGTTAAGAAGTGTTTTCACCAGTTAAACATCTGTTTATACCAGTAACATGTATTTCCTGCAAGATCAACTGACAAAAATGCATGTACTTGTTTTTTGGTACTAAGCACAAATTTTCTCACCATATGACTGGTGCTAGGAAATAACATTATATTTATTTTAGCAGAATGCACATTAGCACAGCTACATGCTGCTACTGTGACTTAGGCCTCATTCACCCTCGCAGTGCAGTCTACCAAACTACATATAATGTTATTAAATGTTACCATTCACAGTTAACAGCCTTACACGTCTATATGCAAAATGGTTACTGATAACCAGCAAAGAAGCAAGTAAGGGCATATTTGATCAGATTACTTTTCTCTCTATATACTTCCTCCCTGGGCCAACTGATAACCTCCCATGGCTTCCAATACCACCTCTATGCTGATGACACCCAGATCTATCTCTCCACTCCCCAGCTCACCCCCTCAATCTCCTCACGTATCACAAATCTACTAAGCGACATATCAGCATGGATGTCACATCACTACCTTAAACGCAATCTTTCAAAAACTGAGCTTGTAATACTTCCTCCTCCCCTCGATACCCCACTCACAACTTTACCATTAAGATCAACAGCACAACCATTGGTCCTTCCCCTCAAGCCAAGGTGCTAGGTGTAATCCTAGACTCTGACCTCTCCTTTGGTCCCGACATCCAATTACTGGCTAAATCCTGCCACCTCAACCTCTGGAACATTTCCAAAATCCACCACTTCCTGACCAATGGCATCACAAAACAACTTACCCATGCCTTGGTTATATCCCGCCTCGATTACTGCAACTCCCTCCTCACTGGTCTACCGTTACACAGGCTATCCCCCCTCCAGTCTATTATGAATGCTGCTGCTAGACTCATACACCTTACCAACCGATCAGCGACTGCTGCCCCTCTCTGCCAATCCCTTCACTGGCTTCCACTAACCCAACATATAAAATTCAAAATACTAACCACAGCTTACAAAGCCATCCACAACACTACCCCTAGCTACATCGCCAACCTCATCCACAGATACCGCCCAAATCGCCCACTCCGCTTCTCCCATGATATCTTCCTCTCTAGCTCCCTCATTACCTCTTCCCACGCTCGCCTCCAGGACTTCTCCAGAGCCTCTCCCATCCTCTGGAACTCCCTACCACAGCAAGTCCGGTCAGCCCCCACCGTCTGCCTTTAGGTGATTTTTGAAAACACACTTCTTCAGGGAAGCCTACCTCACCTCCACCTAAGAACTGTACTTGAATCACCTCCGCCAGATCATCCCCCGCAGCTATCAACTTTTGTATCATTTCCCCCTTCCTTTAGATTGTAAGCTCCACGAGCAGGGACCTCACATTCCTTCTGTACTGAAAGTATTGTAATTGTACTGTCTCCCTTATATTGTAAAGCGCTGCGCAAACTGTTGGTGCTATATAAATCCTGTATAATAATAATAATGAAAAAGCAGGTCAACTGATATAAACTGATGAAAGCACATGTAAACTATAGTTGCAGCATACAGTATCTCACAGAAGTGAGTGCACCCCTCACATTTTTGTAAATATTTTATTATATCTTTTCATGTGACAACACTGAATTATACTTTGCTACAATGTAAAGTAGTGCGTGTACAGCTTGTATAACAGTGTAAATTTGCTGTCCCCTCAAAATAACTCAACACACAGCCATTAATGTTTTAAACCGCTGGCAAGAAAAGTGAGTACACCCCTAAGTGAAAATGTCCAAATTGTGCCCAAAGTGTCAATATTTTGTGTGGCCACCATTATTTTCCAGCACTGCCTTAACCCTTTTAGGCATGGAGTTCACCATAGCTTCACAGGTTGCCACTGGAGCCCTCTTCCACTCCTCCATGATGACATCACGGAGCTGGTGGATGTTAGAAACCTTGCGCTCCTCCATCTTCCATTTGAGCGTGCCCCACAGATGCTCAATAGGGTTTAGGTCTGGAGACATGCTTGCACAGTCCATCACCTTTTCCCTCAGCTTCCTTAGCAAGGCAGTGGTCATCTTGGAGATGTGTTTGGGGTCATTATCATGTTGGAATACTGCCCTGCAGCCCAGTCTCTGAAGGGAGGCGATCATGCTCTGCTTCAGTATGTCACAGTACGTGTTGGCATTCATGGTTCCCTCAATGAATTGTAGCTTCCCTGTGCCGGCAGCACTCATGCAGCCCCAGACCATGACACTCCCACCACCATGCTTGACTGTAGGCAAGAAACACTTGTGTTTGTACTCCTCACCTCAATGCCGCCACACACACTTAACACCATCTGAACCAAACAAGTTTATCTTGGTCTCATCAGACCACAGGACATGGTTCCAGTAATCCATGTCCTTAGTCTGCTTGTCTTCAGCAAACTGTTTGCAAGCTTTCTTGTGCATCATCTTTAGAAGAGGCTTCCTTCTGGGATGACAGCCATGCACACCAATTTGATCCAGTGTGCGGCGTATGGTCTGAGCACTGACAGGCTGACCCACCACCCCTTCAACCTCTGCAGCAATGCTGGCAGCACTCATACGTTTATTTCCCAAAGATAACCTCTGGATATGACGCTGAGCACGTGCACTCAACTTCTTTGGTTGACCATGGAAAA